AGAGAGAGAGAGAGAGAGAGAGAGAGAGAGAGAGAGAGAGAGAGATCAAATTGCTGCTGTTCTACTCCCTATGACATGCTCATACATTATGTTTTCGTTTCGCAATACTTAGTTTGTTCTGTATATAGACTTGCGACATGTCTCTCTGCTAATTCTTCCATACCTTTTTGACGAAAGTTTCACGCTTCTCTGAGAGTCCACAGTCACGCTTTTTCTTAAAAACACAAGCTATCACCCTCCACCGTTCGGTTCTGCATCTCCAAAACGTATGTCCTGGATTTTTATTCCTACCATTTCTGTCACATTTTTAGATAAAAAAAATCAAAGATCATGGATATAGCCGTCCAGGAGAGCCTCATGGCGATATAGGCCAATATGAGTTTCAGTATTTGATGACTCCAGTATAATCTATAATACGAGTTGTTTCTTATCTATTTGCTGTTTTTGTAATAATGAAATTAAATGTATGTATAGTTCTAAATGTAATTTTTTTTTAATTCACAGTTCTAAAATATAACATTTTCTCAATCATAAGTATATTTTATAAAAAAGAATATAGAACACAAAAAATAAAAGCATATCAGAATACTGGCTTGGAAAAAATGCTGATTTAAGCTCTATTTTTTTAAAAATAAATTAAAGAAAATTTGAAATATAAGATATGACAAAGTAGCAAAAAAATTATATATATATATAAGACCACATCTTAATATATAATTTATTTGTCAAAGATAAATTAAATCGAATCATATATATACGATATTTCTACAAGATAATTTTTAAGAATTACATAAACAAATGTTTTAGTAATTCAATGTTAAAAATTAAAGCATTAAAGAAATTAATTGAAAATTTTTAGTTAATGAAAATATAGAGAATTAGAAAAATAGACTATAAAGGATATTTTTCTAAGGTCATTGAAAATCTCATACCTTTGCCATTTGACGCGTGCCTGCGGTAAAGTATCTAGGGGATCCTTAATGAGATATACCCTTATTCCACGAATGTAAGTCTCGAAGTAAGTATTCCAATCGACATCTCGTATATCGCAATAGAATTTTTCACGATCTTTGAATGTGAGCTTGCCCATCAGCGCGTGTAATCGATCATTGGTAAACTTCCATTCTTGCGTAGCGAAATAGTTCAGCACATCCATGAATTTGTGTATCTTCTTGTAAACCTTAAGTAACCTTTAATACACAATCTGTGTTAAATAGTGATCTATAATACATAAACAACACCGAAATAAAGATATGGCGAACGAAATATTTGCCTCATGTTAAAATAAGATGAAACAACAAAGAGCTACGAATTATATAACAATTTCATATAATCTATAAATAAACGTTTCGACCTGACACAAAAACATTATCATGTTAACAATGAGAAAATTAAATATGAAAAACATTCACATTCAAAATCTACTTAATCCCTTCATCTAAATCCTGTTCGTTTATATGAATACCGCAGCATTCTATAGCAATTATAGCTATGTTCTTCTTATTGGAGATTAAGTCTTGCATGTGTGACGCGTAATTATGGTCATCCTGCCATTAAGTCATGAGGGTAATAAAGGACATGTATTGTTGGTGATTACTAATGCTGATGTAAATTATAGTGTCTCAGACAGGAGTGCACATTCCCATATGCAATTAATTTTTTTTATATAGTATTTAGTAGATAACCTCATTACTTTTCTAGTTAAAGAATAATGATGTTACAAAGCACTACGCATTAATTACTGTAAAACAGTTCAAGTTTAAAGTCTTGTGCAGTGGGAATATATAAAAAAAAATGGTAACATGCGTGCACTCCTGAGATAGTATAATTTATATCAGCATTAGTAATCATAATACACGTTCTTTGCTATTCTCACAACTTAATGGCAGGATGATCATACCTTATGCATCACGCATGGAAAATTTTTTTGCGTATTGATAGTCTAGTAATCTCCAATAAAAACACAGCTATAATTGCTACTGAATGATGCTGTATTTTTATAAACAAACGCATTTTTGATGAAGGAATTATATAAGTATAATAGCTGTGAATAAATATAAAAAATAAAAGCAAAGAAGCTAAAAAGCAATTCGTTCTTTTATGATCATCTTAAATCACTCTTAAAATTATTGTTTAATTATACATTATTTATATATTTTAAAAGTTATTCTTTAAATTATTTTATAGGATTTTATGTTAATAAATGAATATTTTGTTCCCCTTAATATAGTGCTATTCCAATTTACGACTTTTCTTTTCTTTACATAGAATAGATAATTCATTATAGTCTCTCTCTCTCTCTCTCTCTAATTTTTATATTAATTTTTTTGTCCTTACTTTGGTTGTCTTCCTATGCAGACAGTTGCTGTGTCAACCAGTAAAGCTGGAAGCAGATGCCAAAAATACACGAAAAAGAGATGAATTATCCTGTGCTTATTGTTTCTGAAGCTATAATACCAAACCGCTCTGGTGGAGGGAATTTCGAGACCATATTTTGATGACATGTCCTTTAAATCATCATAAGTTATCGGATTGTCCGTAGACACATAATTATAAATCGGAACATCACTACGCGATTTATTGTTTATTCTGAAAAAATGCAATGTTATGTATTCATATTTATGTTAAGTTTTTTAAATTTGTAGGTATTACACAATTATGTTATGTAAATATATATAGATTCGTGTGAAGTATGACGTGTCTTCTAAAGATTTTAAATAATAAATAACTATGTAAATAATTATGTGCATATAATTATATATATAGTATTATAATATCATTCTGACTGTACGTGATGCAGAAAAAAATTAAAAAATGATAATGAACACCTTTGATCGTTTGCAACGTCCCATGCACATGCAATTAGAGCATTAACTGCTAAATCGGCAGGTACCACGTTTGCGTGTACTGAACCATCACAGTGGATCGATCGCAGCAATCCAGTTCCAGCGCCGGCAGCAACTCCTGTTGGACCGTACAGATTGTCGATCCAACCTCGTGTCGGTTCTTGATACGTTGAGATAACTAGAAATAAAATCTCAGATTATCTGTACAATAATATTATGCAATTTTTAATTTTTGAGTATATTAAAATCCGCTTATTCCACCGAATATAAGATTTCTCTTATTTAATTAAAAATAAAATAAATTATGTATATGTACATACCAATAGCAGGACGAAAAATGCCGACCGGTAGATCGTCAGCTTGCTTCCTGATCACATTCTCGGCAACTGCTTTCGTGAAAGTATAAGTATTAGGCCATTTTCCTAATAATCTGTAAAAATCAGAATATAAATTTTTTTTCGTTCTTTCACCGTGTGCGCTAAAAAAATTCAATTGAAAAAAGAGAATTCAATAAAAAAAGTTTCACTTACTGCGAAGTGATGTCTTCAGCCAATTTATCTTCCACGCATTCAATCAACGCAATTAGTTTATCAGAATCCATTGGAGGGTCATAAAACTTTTCCTCGATTACAGTTTGTGGACAATTTGCATAAGCAGTCGATACGTGTACAAGAGACTGGAAAAATGCATTAAATGGTATCGTTTACATAAATATGTATGATTTATCATAAATATATATGTAGATACATTTCAAGAAAACACAACAGAAATAATAATTCCTAACTCTGCTCTGGTGAAAAATTTGGATAATACCTCATAATGTGTGTTTTATAATATTTAAAAAAATTTTTAATATTTTAAATTTATGAAGATATATTTTTTTAAATATTGTATTTTTACATTTCTCCAAATTTAAAAAATTTCTTTCGGGAGTTATAAAAGGAAAAATCTTAAAATATTATACATATATCTCAAAATTATGTGTATTGAATTCATGCAAACACGCACATGTCTGATAAATATTCCAATTTGTATAAAAAAATCTAAGCTATTGTGCAAAAAGTTAGAAATTTTATACAGAAATTGTACATTTTGAAAAATTTCGAATTATATAAAAAATTTGAAATATTGTATGAGAATTTTAAGAAAGGTTTTCATCAGAACACGTTGTTTGAATTAGAATTAAATATTTTATTATAGTTTTTCTTTTCTTAGATATCTGCGCATCCTTATGATACCTTTAAGTTCGTGATCTCTTTGCAGAGATTTACAACGTCTCTTGTACTTCTGACGTTAATAGGCACTGCTAATTTCAATTTCTCGTCGAATCTAACTGTAGCTGCGACATGAAAAACAATTGAAACTGCCCGGATAAGAGTGGCCCGATCTTGCGCAGATATTCCGAGATTCGGTTGACTGCAGTCTCCCGCTATAGCAACGATCTGATGTCGGAACTTAGGCTGTTCATCTCTAAGTTTTGAAAATACCTGCGTAAATTAAAGTAATAGTCAACCCATCCATTAAATTCAGAAAGACAGTTGTCATTATTTCATTAATATCGATCTAATAAGATAATAAAAAGATTAGTTATTGAAAGAAATAATCTTCTAGTTTTGAAGCTAAATAAAACGTTGATGTCAAAGTATTCGATGTCTATCGATGATGCAGATTATTATACATGGTATTATACGTGGAAATTTGTAAAGGGGCATGGACAATAAAAATGTTTGATTTAGTTTCTCAAATTATGATATTTTAACATTACAAATTTGAATGAAAAAAATTATCCTCTCTTTATCGAGACAAATTTTTTTTATCGAAAGACAAAAAAACGATTCAAACTGTACCTGTTAAAAAATTTATCAAATGTGATATATTAAGAACAGGATCCGCTTGTTTCTAAAGACTCACCGTGTCGTCAAAGATTTCTTCAGTACGCTGGTGCACATCCTTGCCTTTTTTCGGACGCACTAGTAGGTAGATCGACGTTACTCCAGGACACGTTCTAAGGAGCTTCTCGATGAGCAGTTTGCCCATGAAACCGGTGCCGCCGGTGATAAAAATACTTTGGCCATAGTAAAATTCCTGAATCGGCGATAGTTTTTCGTTGACTGGCGAATTCTCCGTCGGCGATTCTGGTATGCAATCCGACTCAACGATAGTTACCTCCTGACCGTCGATTCGATCCAAGAGCACCTCCACCATCTCTTCTACGCGTTTGCACCTGCAAGGAAGGAGCCACGTTTCTTTTTCTATCGATTCAATTCACTTTATATCCAATTCGTATTCGCGGTTTGGCGCGTTACGAGCCGACGCGCCGAATTTAAAGATGACTCTTCCTTTTTCGTGAGCTGTCTCGATTGATTAGCCGATTTGCGTTTGCGTCGAACGCGTCGTCGCGTCTCGCCTCACTCATTATCACCTGTACGTGGACAAGGCGAATTCACGATCGTCAACATTGTTCACGTTGACAGATGGATACGTGCATCATGATGAAAATTATTAGTGAGAGATTGTGTTTATGAAAAGTTTTATCAAAATTGTTATACTGTTTGTGAAAAATTTTACTGATGGTTACCCTGTTTGAAAGCACGTTGCAAAACCTGGCAAACATTTGCTGATTAAATATTTTACAAACTCTTAGAAAATTATAATGGAAATGTTTGAGACTATGTCATTAAATGCTACTAAAACATTCCACAAGAAATGTTTTGAAAGATATAAATTTCAATAGAGTTTTTTAATACATACGAACAACTTGGATCATATTGGCATGATTAATATTATTTATGTGTGTGTGTGTGAATTTAAACACAAATAAAAGAAAAGAAATTCCATTTTTGGTTAAAGCAGATCTTGATACTTAAAAATATTCATATGTAAATATACAGATACAAATCTTACATTAGTTCTATAGATTGTGTGCCATTATAGTTGTTGAATTTGAAACATAATCATAAAATAATAATCTTACAATTATATGTACATATAAATTAATTGATCGTTGATGTGACAATAATGCTGACTTGTATCTTAAAAACCTGTAAATAATTTACTGCGAAAAACATCACTTCACCCGGAACTTTTCAAATTCCGTGCAGGCATCTTCCGAATTCGATACACGTGATGATATTAATCGCAATGACAAGTTTAATCTGCAAAAAAAGTCTTTCAGGCGACGTACGATAAATAATATTTTAATTAAGATATTGAATCCGATTTCGAATTTCGGTGATGAGGTGACGTATGTTTTCCGTGATAAGTTATATTTATAGTAATAAAATTAGAAATAAAACCGTTTATATGAGTATATAATTTAAATTCGTGAAGAGCTAATATATGATCAAAGTTATAGATATTGTACTAATACATATAGGATGAGGCATTTACAACAGGTTACCTAAATAATTCGCTTGTTTTTTATATAAAAAAAGGTTTCAGATGAAAGGTGAACGGTTTCGACGTGTTTTGGTCACGTTGTTTTTGGCTAGATGAAGACACCAAAAAGATATAAAGGTCACCTTCACTTTTTTAAATGGAATTACATGAATTTTTTTCATAATATAAATCCTTTAACAATTCTGCAAATAAAAGTATGAAAGTATATACAGATATTAAAAAAAAATAAACAAGATATTTTACACTTTAGTCTGATATACATTGACATTATATATTAAATATCTCGTAAACTATTGATTTTTTAATATCTATAAAAAAAGTGAAAGTTATCTTTATATCTTTTTGGTGCCTCCACCTTGACAAAAGAACGTGACAAAAGACAATTGACCAAAAATTCGTCAATCTGCAGTTTGATACAGATATAAAATTTACTTTGATTAGGAATGGTTTTTTTTTATATTTATGTTTATACATTTCTTGATTTGTTTTACTTAATATTATTTATTGACTCGTTTATTGGATAGAAATTTAAATATAGAATTATTTTAGGTGACGTTTTCGACTATATCTTTTCGGAAAGTGTTGTGTGTATTGTGTGATATTTTCGGAATGTTGCAAATGTTCAAGAGGTATTTGGATTAAAATGTAAAAATTATGGCCTATGCTAATCTATAGGGTAATTTGATAAAGTTTTATTAGAATCTGAGATAAAAATAAAAAATAATAATAGATTTAATATGGCGGACACAATTTTAAAAATAATTTGCTTAAAACTTGATTTTAGAGAGCTTTTAGTTGCAAAGTAATATCAAGTTTCGCTTTATTTGATCATCAGTGCTATGTAAACAGTCAATATTGATTTTTAAACTAATCACTTTCAAACCGTGATTATGAATATCTTGTAACTTAATCCTTCATGAAGATTATTATCTTTTTAAAATTTGACATTCAAAGTCAGAGATACCACTTATAAACTTCCTAAAAAATCGATTACGTCATGATAATTCAATAATTTATTTTAAAATTTAATTTTCAGAATTCTGCAAAAACTAGAGTCGAATTTGGAGAATTCGAAAACTTTCAGAAAGAAAGATCTTCTATAAGTTTATTACAATATTTTGTTAGAAAGCTTCGGCCCTCAAAAAATTAAACAGGTATTTATTATTAAAAACTACGCATCTCAGCCAAAAATAATAATAGAATTGACATTGATTCAACGTTGAAATTATCAAATCAACATCGATTCCATTATCATTTCTGGTTGGGATTGTTTAGTATACGTATTGCTTATTAAGTATTGCTTACTATGTTTTTTTTTTAAATTTCCATAACAAGTATTAGACTTACAACTAATTCTCGGTCTTTTTTTATCAAGTTTCGACGTAAAAGAATGATTATTAACCTAAAGTAATTCCTTTCACATATTTTCGCCATCTTTCAGGTAACTATTGGATTTTGCTTCGGAAAAAAGATAATTGTTTTAAATCGATTAGTTCTGTGATGAAAAAAATTGTCATTATGAAATCTTTGGAACCACTTTTTACATGTATTGTACGACACAGAGTTTTTGCCTAAAGGCAAGTAAATTATTTCTTGAGCTTCCGCGACATTTTTCTTCAGCTGGAACGTGAAAAGAAGGTAGTGCCTCAAATGCTGCTTTTCAAACGACATAGTTTTCACTACTATTTTTTGAGATTAGATTCGCAGTATCGACATCCGTTATACCCTTTTTTTTATTTTGAAGCTCAAGAATGACGTTTTAAAACGACTGTATGGCGAAAAAAAGACTCAAATTTGAATAAGTGCTGTAATCGATTGAATATAGGGGCCGATAATTAAATTATAGATCTAATATAATTTTTAAAGAATTGTCGGATTTTATCTGGAAATGTATATTTATAGAGATGTTTCAGAGAAACATCAATATTCTAGGAAGTGGTAATATTGGTTATTTTAAGCAATTTATTTTGTCAATATCTCTTATTGACCCTTCTTCTTGGGATACTTTGTACAGAGTAAATGTAAAAAATATTCGTACAAGAGATTTTTATAAAAAAAATCTTATTTATATAAAGTTTGTAAAAAAACATTAATAAGCAATTTTATATAATGATGTAATATTTTTCGTAATAAATTGTTTACAAATTATTAAATTGCTAGGCAATTTAATTTGTAATAGTACTACTGTTAGACCGAAAAATCAATTCAGCGCGCAGTTTGACAGAATTTGATACGTAAATTCACATCGAATTAAAGCACCAAAGATCTAACTTTGATTGTTATGGACTCTATTTAATAAAAATTGATTTTATTTAAATAAGCCAATTTTACTAAATCTCAATAAACAAATAAAATACCATAAAATGTATGCGGATGTATACGTACACATATCTTTTGCATACAGGTTACTCATTATTAAAAATCTATGGTAAAAGCACTAGATGTGGATCAGGCACTAGTTCCGGAATTATTTATATATAATTATATAGTATTTTCCATCAAATGGTACATATTGTAAGATTTTTTAACATTTGTTTTATTTTTTCAAGTATCAATTATTTTTTATTTATTAGCAATAACACCTTTTATTGATGCATTTTATACATATTTAGCAACTACACATTTTATTGATATTAACTAATAAAGCGTCCAAGGTAAACTAAACTAAGGTACGAATCACCAATCAGCACGCTTAGAAGACCACATTATTAACAAAATGCCATGCTATTATTTAACTTTACTCAAAATATATATAAATATAAGTAACTCAAAATGTGTGCAACCAAATAACACTCCAATATACATATATTTGTGTGATAATCTGCTTAAATTTACGAGAAATGAGAGAGTATGTGTAATTAAATGTTAAAATATATCTTAAAAATGTTTCAAAATGTTTGAAAGTAAAAATGCATTATGGTAAATGCTGGCTATTGCGCATTTTAATGTCATGATGTAATGACAAACTCCTGAACAAATAATTCCATAAGTAATCACTAGAATTCGTCACCTAAGCGATTATACTTACACTAGCCATAATATTATCTTTTTTCCTATGTTTTAATTATCTTTTTAGGTAAAATAATTTTAAGTACAATCTATTTTATTTTTTGTTTATTAAAATATGCACATTGTAAAAGGTTTTCTTTAATAAAATCTTTTTTGAAGATATCTTTTTGTGTATAAAAATATTCTTTGCACTCAGTATATGTACATATATGCAGAAGATATAATTCTTAATCAAAGATTAAATCACAAAATAAATATCAAAAGCCAATGTGAGAAAAGATATTATGCTATCTCGCTCAATAAAGAATTTATGGAGAGAGGCAATCAGACATTATGTATTATTCTAAAAGTCTCAATATAATACATACATAATTTTTCATTCATAAAAAAATTATACGTATTCTGAATGCGTTCAGATTTCTTTTCAACCTGATGAGCCATCTGTTTCGAAATCAATGCCTGTCATTCTGTCAATATCGAAGACGATGTGCAAACCGACAAAATTATATTCATGTCGCAACAAGGACAACCAATTCGTTTAAGATATTGACTGTAGAATGTCAATTTAATTTATTTAAGAGAATTCAATGTGCTCGAAATTGTTTTTGTCGTCTTTTGATGATATTACAAATAATCTATGCGAATCAACGAGCATATTCATGTCGTGATGTTGCAAGGACAACCAATTCATTGAGGACATTGATTGTAAAATGTTAATTTAATTTATTTAGAAAAATGTAATGGCTTGAACTCAATACTCAATGCTTTCATCATTTTTTTTTTTTATGATATTAAAGATAATTTGTGCAAGACAAC